GCGACATCCTTGTTGGAAGACATATTCGCGGAGGTCAGGGATACCCATTTCTCAGGACTTGATGCCATTGCATTCCTTGCAGGTGTGTGCGGACAACAGGAAATTGATCCCCATTGACTTCGTCAACATGATGCGTGGGCCCGAGGACCTAGGAAGTGGTGCCAGGTATTGATTCAAATTAGTTTTCTTCGTCAGGTGGGCACTGGTGGATTCAAAGATTGACACTGAGATGCGGGTGCAGGCAGGCATTGCTGGCTATGTGTTGGCTTGATGCCATTGGATGTCCGAAAGGCATTGCACACGCGTTTTGAAGAACAGTTGCCGAACATGAACTCCCAGGATGCAGGGACGGTTCACTTGTGGCAGCGTGAGTACGTCAAACCAACTTCATTTTCCCATGTACATTGACGGGTGAGGGGCCGCGACAATTTTCTCCTCTGGCACCTGTCATTTAGTGAGCCTGCGTCTTGTTTGAAACCGACTCACCTGAAATCGTGCATCTTGCAACCTTGAGCCGAACCTCAAAGGCCCTTTCAGTTCTGCATTGCACTGCTTTGCTTGAGGGGTTGCTGCGGTGCCATGTTGTAAATGCGTGGTGGTAGGAGCTCGGACATTGGCTCTGGGCCTTCTGGAAGGCCATGATACTGACGTGCTACCTTCTGCCTGCAGCAGCTGTAGCCTCAGCAAGGAACATGCTGCAACAAAGTGTTGGCGCAGGTGGATGTCGTTAACGGCAGACTTCTAGCCGAGTTCCAAGCCGCGGCAGTCATGCTTTAGTTGCCTTGTTTGGTGATTGGCCAAGGCCGCCATCAATGCCCGAGCCAGTTTGAAGGCATTGTTGAGCACAATTGCACACATGCACAATCTTCTCCACAATGTGAAAGCCTTGATTTCGTCCCTTGGTTATCTGCGTTGCGTGGGTCTGGCATGTCGATTGACTCCTCACAGCCATTGCGGCTCATACAATCGCCAGTCATTTTCAAATTCACTGTGACCGCACCGCACCGGAGTACCAGTCCGAGCACTACCGTCAGTTGAGTGACACGAGAGGAAGTAGGCTGGTAGCTCATGGAAGCAGCGTGTGCTTTGCCCTTGTCTGCGGCCGAGCTCCGGGCACGCCTGCTGTCGCGATGGCTGACCCCTGAGGAGGCAACGAATTGAAACGAACTGTAGAAAAGCTGCATGTTGTTGGCCGCATGTGGTTACTGCTGCGATTTTTTTGATTGACGTGGAATGGAAGTTGGAAGGCTTTGCAGGCTGCTTGTCTTCAAGACCGTTTGCAGCTTCCTGGCCAGCAAATGTAAAAGTGGCACGGGACCAATAATCACTAATGTACGAATATGTCACAGCCACACGGTCGCAGGTTGAACGAGACAGAACTGCGCGAATTGTTTGAGGCCGAGCTGGAGGCGTGGGCCCCGTAGCCGTAGCAGTGATCGTCCTTCCATACATCCCAGAAGACCTATTCGGGATTATTTCTGGATTTCGGATGCATCTGCAATTGTAAAGCCGAGGTGACGTCATCCCCTGAACAAGTTAGTCTCGAAAGTCAAAAGATGAGACTGGGCAATGATTAGGCATCATGGAGCACTCCATTTAGGTGGGCAGGTCTTGCTACTCTGTGTGTGAATGCGTGAATGTGCCGTTCAAGGAAGATTTCCGCTGCAAGCCGCTGGCGTGGCAGAGTTGAGGCCTTCAGTTGGTATATGATGAGCTAGTACCAAGACCTGACGACCATTTTGGGACTTGTGAAGGCTGGCATTCAGAGACTTTTCACACAGCTTCAGGACAAGCAGGTGCCAGATGGGGTATCCACTTGGGATTACGCTTGATGGGCTGCTTGTCCCCCATGCCAGGGACCAGATTTTGGATTTCCAACAATCTCACTCCAAACGCTCCTGTTTGAAATCTCGCCGCTTTGCTTAACTCACGACCGAGGTTCTGGACTTCGGTCTTGGCATCTGCAGCATGCAAAAGCATGCAAAATGAGCTCAATCCTTCATTTGCCAGCCAAGGCGAAGTGCACCACGCGAGGGCTTTCGCTCTTGGGCAGCCCGTCGGTGCACTGCAGATGATTGGGGTCTCCTTCGTCACTCGGCAGCAGCTTCCAAATCGGTTGAGCCTTTGTTCTTTTGCTTGAGTTGACAAGATGATTCGTTCCTTGAGCGGAAAGAGTGAGTGTGCTGCAATGCTGCTTTGATAGGTGCCTTCGCCGAATCCGGAGGGCTCGACAGTGATCGCTTTTGCGAAATGGTCGTCCGTGAGACTGGTCATGTCGACGACGCGAAGGACGAAGCTTGTTGGACCTTTTGGAAACCAGGTGGTTGATGAATGCAAGTTGAGGCTGGCTCCCTCGCACCTGCCTTTGCAAGACCATCGCAGTCGCCAAACCACAAGCAATTGTCTTGAAGTGTTTTCCATACAGGAGTGGTTCGAGTTGCTGCGACGAGCGGCTGGTGGTGGCACTCTCATTCCGTCATCGCCTGAGGATATGAACGTGAGAGTGAGAAGCAGATGTGAGATCAAGGCTCCAAGCAAAGTGTTTCCGCCGTGCAAGGTTTGCCTTCTTGCAAAAGCAAGCTATGAGTTGCACACGCCTGTCTGGTGCTGCTGACTCCTTCATGGAATGGGAGCCTTCTGCCACTCAGCTGAGCTATTATATTATCCTTTGCATTTCAAAGATATGTGTGGGGGACGGTCTTTCTTTTTTTGTTTTTAATTTTTGGTTTTGTTCTGGCTTCTTCACGTTCAAGAACTCTCACCCACATAAACCAAGTCAAGCGAAAACCACGCGCACTAAAGTCAGCCAAGCCAAACTAAAGTTCTAGAACCCGAACCCTAACCAATGAGTCATAACACTTATACAAAATGGTATGACTTCACAGCAGCACACTTGTCATCATCATCACTCTCCACCTGCAACAGCAGTAGCAACAGTACTTGCTCCTAAGAGTCACTCTAACCTGCTATCAAACCGGCTTCTGTCAATTGAGGAGCTATTGCCAAGACTTCTTTCAGTGTGGGGCGATTTGACTGCGGCGTTTGGCTGGGATAATCAGGACCTCCACCGGTTTGCGCTTAACACTCTTCAGGTACTCAGTGCTTTCGACATCCCACGCGCGGGCTACATGCATGTGTATGCTTGCACCCCAGTACTGAAGCAATATGAAGCACATGGCCTTGGAAACGTGTTGATATACCATCGCATCTGCTGCCGCTGGTAACCTGACCAATGTAGGACAGCTCTGACTTGATCTTCAAGATTCAACAAGATGTGGGCCATGTGAAGCTCCTGCAGCCTGACGTGACATTTTTGAGTTGAACCATGCCGTGAGCCGCATGTTTCTGAGGCAGAGTTTCGCTCGTCCTCCCTCTGAAGCGATTGACAGCCAGTGGGGGCCTCTGAAACTTTCCTTATCTTTTCTTCAAATCTCTTCAGTGTCATTGCAATTCTGGTCTGGTTGTAGATGGGAAATCTGGGCTCTATAGCATTTTCGCTGTCATGGAGTTGTACTCGTATTGTGGTCCATTGGCAGGCAGTGGCTACACGCCCTGCGTGGCAAGGCAGATGGCCCGCTGCTTGGCACCCTGTCCCGCATTCCCGCATTCGGTTTGAGCGTTGTGCAAGTTGGTGGCGGCCCACCTGCTTTGCATGAACATCAGGTGTCATAGAGGCGAAAGTAGAGTCCGAGCGCTTGGGTGCGCTGGGGCTGACCCTGGACAGGCGGGAGGGCAGGTCTTTGCTGCACTGCTAGCTGCTGCTGCTGCGGCTCCAATTTGAAAGGCTGTTCCCGAACCTATCGGACAGGCTTCAAGTCACCAAGAGCCTTGGCTTACAGATTTGCTCTTCCATGGATGCTTTTGCCAAAAACTTTAAGGAATTTATTCCTTCCTGGAGAGCTTGCTGTGGTTCGCTACACGCTGAGCTTCAGACTCAGTGCCACCACGCATGCGGAGAGAGCTGTCCAGAAATTGAATGGACAGGTGACTTCGGGTTTTATGGTTCTTGTGGCCCTGCACCTTTGGTGGCCTGACTGCAGTGGATCTGAGGTTCCACAGTCGAATTTAGCACGTTCTGGGACTGATTGCAGGTTCTTGGGCCAGAGCTAGCCTTGGGCAAGCAGCCTTTCGTCGCAGCGGTGCCTGCTCAACCTGAGCTGGCAGGCTTTGAGGCCCAATCTCAAAGGTTCAATCCAGATGACTGCAGGTGTGGAAGCATCTGATTGCCTGCTCCTGTTTTCTCCTGTTTGCGTATGCAGCTCTGCAGCGTGCTGCTAACACATACGGAGCATGTTAAGGCCTTGCATGGGCTCGCTGCTGATAAGCTTCTCCACGAGAGATGATTTTGAGCTATCTGCGGTTTCGATCGTCCTCGTATTCTCCGCAGGATGCCTGGAGCCGCACCGCTCTGGATGCCTCTGCACCTTGTGGTGCTGTGCGCCTGCGGGCGCCGGGTGCGCTGCAGGGTACCTCTGCGAGGACCTGAGCGTTTGGAGTATGACGGGCTTGCAACCTGAATGCTTCACCTCTCAATGCTGAGGCCTTTTGGCACCTGCAAATCTTTGCATCGGATGATGGGCATACCCCAAATGCTGCAGTGAGCAGGCCCCTGTTGATTCAGGCCTGGACCTGCAGCCTAGTCCCGAGGGCAGGGCCTGTGAAGTAGGGCTCCCTTTCTGGATAAGTTTTGGAATGCCACGCCGCAGCAGCGATTGAACCAAAGCCTGTCCGAAGCACCAGAACAAGATGTTGCTAGATTCGGCTAGGTGATGACAGTCCCCCCTGCGCCACCAAGCGAAGTGGTTGCAGAGTGCTTGGAGACGTCCATCACGTTGCACTGGGCAGAATCTTCCTCAGCATCATGCGCGCTCTCTAATGTGCCGCAGCGAACTTGCACTTTCTGCCTCTGACCCTGAGCTCCCCAGGAGTGCGTGCAAAATGGTGGTGCTGCTGTCGACCGATATGAAGCTGCCCTTTGGCCTTCAACATCATCCTCTGAGATGGCTTGGAACCTTGACTGTGTCTTCGAAGTTGAAATGCTTGGATCTGTCTAGAATGCCCGCTATATTGGGGCAGGTGCTTGCGCTTGTTCGCTCTCAGCCAAGGACAGGACATTCTCAGGCAATCTCGCTGCAGAAGGCAATGCCATGCGCACAGCCCAGATGTGGCCTGAATGCGAGGTGCCTGTGATGATTGCCACATCACTTCACCCAGAAACTTCAATGCAAAAGGATATTCAGCAGTTCCAGCATGGATTGGACATTCAACAACGAAGGATTGTCAATACACTGTTCGAGTTCGTGCCATCAATCGATGCTTGGCTGGGAACAATCGCTGTCCTGTGCAGAGCATGAGGTCATTATCTGTACTTCACCAGTACATCCCTACCCTGAAAAAGAGCAGATGCCAGGGTTTGTTGAGCCTTGAGCTGACTTGGCTGCTGAGATATGGGCTCATTGTTAACTCATCAGTCCAAGCACAGTGCAGTGTTTCGGCCCATTCTGGTGAGATCCGGGTTCGGTTTGACTATAGACCGTGACAAGGTGCCGGCGCTGGCCCTTGGAGCCTGGGCTTTTCAGTGCGGACACTGGCCAAACCACCCGCGCCGAAGCCGCCACAGGTCGCAGCAGCAACTTGGCAAGCACAAGTGATGGGACAGCAGAAATCTGCTATCGGCTATGTGGACCACCAGCTTGGCAGCGTGCCTTCGCAGGTTGGCAAGAACTACGTGAAGCTACGCCTGTTTGCTGAGAAGGCTTGGCTTGGCTATGCTCTGCTACGGCAAATGGCAAGTGGTCGCTGGATGTTCATGTTCATGTCATTTCATGTTCATAGATCGTCCCTTGTTTGGCTGTTCTGTGTGAGGTCCCAGATCTCACCGGATATTTGGTCAAGGCCAATTTTCGCAAGCCCTGAGCTCAGACACGGGGATGCTCGCTGAATGGTGCTGACAGAACCTCCATTCTTCTCGGCTGCCGGATTTCAGATCTTCTGATCCGGAGACTTCCACTGACAGCCGACTTGAGATCCTGAAGAGATGCGACCCCAAGCAGACAGCTTCCCGGCTTTGGTATGTAGCCCGTAGCGCAGTCATTTTGTAGGTGCTGCAGTTTGCCAGCAGTTGTAAGGAAATTCTTTTCACCGGCCTGCTGAGCTCGACCAACTATCGATTTTGAGCCTCGGCAGTCTTACGCATGCCGTGCTCTCTTGCATGCTTTGCATGCTTTGCATGCTTTGCATCCCGTTGCCATGCCAAGGTGGGGCCTTGATCAATGCTACTGGACAAGGGCCGTGGAGCAGTCGTATCGAGGTAGTCGGTGGCAACGAGGAAGAATCTGACCTTCCATCAGCAGAGATGCCAGGTCCGTACAAAGGCCGGAGAACCGCACCCTCCAGAGTTCCTGACGTGTGTGGCGCCGTGGCTTGCAATGGATCTTGTGCATTAAGTTTTATAGATTCTGCAATTAATTATTGTGAGCTGCTGTGAACACTGGCGACAAGGAGGCCAAGCAAGAAGAGCTCTGCATCGACTGGGGACCGCCAACGCACGATGGAAGTTCGCATGCAAGAAATTGCGCAGAATCTCAATGCTGCTGCTATTCGTTTGGGGATGTGAGGTGGTGCGAGCATTTCTGGATATGTCATCCGGGCAGAGCCGCTTGGGCAAGCGGCGCTAGGGGCCACAGCCAGAGCCGCTTCGTTTGCATTGAGATGTTTCGGGGCAGATGCTTAAGTCAGCTTTGTCACCGTAGGTGGTGGAGAGGGTGGCGGCTTCTTCTCCGACATGGCTTCGCGGCCTATCAGGAAACACGAGATATGGTAGCGCGCCGGCACAAAGCGTGAATCTATTGCCTTCCCTCCGTTTTGTTGGTTTCGACTGGTTTGAGTTTTGAGTATCATAGTTGACACAAGCACGTGGTTGAATGAGCCTGAGGGTTTTGCCAAGGTGTAGTGCTGGCTGCTTTGAACAACATTGGACAGAGCAACTTCTGCGATGCGGTGGAGGCACGGGCTGTTTGGTCGTCAAGTGCGTAGCTCGAACAAGCTGCACGGGTTTCAGACCAAGCTCTGCTTTGACATAGCATTTGGCTCTAGCATCCACTGTGTGACAACTAGAAGGCACTGACTTGCAATGGCTGAGAAGCGACAGCATGTGGTTTTTCTCAACTTTCCTGGAACTGGCCACATGAACCCAACTCTCCCGTTGGTTGCAGAGCTCCGGTCACGAGAGGTGGAGGTTACCTATTTTGTCGCGGAGCCGCTGCGCCAGATTGTGGAAGCGGCAGGGGCAAGTTGGCGGCCCATGCAGGATCCTTCCACCCTGACAGAGGAGCAGATGGCTGCCTATGTTCCAGAGGGGACGCCCGCAGAGGACTATGAATTTCCCATATCAGTGGTTCCCATAGCGGCATCAGTTCTACCGAGCTTCATCTCAGAGCTTAAGGCATTGCAGCCGCCTCCAACAGTCATCGTACACGATCCCTTCCTGCCTCAGGGCTTCGTAGCTGCCAAGCAGTTGGGCATCCCGTGCATCGGCTCCGTGACCTTGACAGGGCCAGGCGTAATGGAACTCCCGCCCTTCCTACTTCAGAGCTGGGAGTCCAAGGAGCCTGTTTGCCGGGGCCGCAAGGAAATCAAAGATCGCTATGAGATAGACATTTTTGAGCACGGCAGCTTTCTCGAGTTCTATTCTCCGGACCAGAACTTTGTGACAACTGTCGACTCTTTGTACTTGCCTCCCAGCAACCCCTTGCAGCTCGAGCGCTTTGGTCAGTTTCCATTCCGGTGCGTTGGTCCTCTGCTGAACCCGTCGGTCAAGCGCCTCTCCCATGCTAAAGCAGGTGTTACCGATAGCGGGTTCCCTTGGGAGAAGCTGGAAGCCGCCGTGGCCGCCTCCAAAAAAGTGGTCCTGATCTCCCTTGGAACAGTTGCAACATCAGCGTTCTGGGAGAAGCCCTTTGGGCCCCATGCTACCAAGAATGGACTTCAAGCAACCACTGGCAAAGACTTCCTGCAGTTCGTGTTTCTGAGAGCTTTCGAAGCCTTCAGAGAAAATGAGGACATCTTCGTCATCATGACTGTTGGGCCACAGCAAGATGCTCTGGACGGGCTTCCGCCAGTTCCTGGCAATTTCCTGATCCAAGACACAGTGCCGCAGCTGCAGCTTCTTCCAAAATGCAATGCTTTTGTTACGCACGGCGGTGCTAACAGCATGCATGAGGGGCTGAGCTTTGGTGTGCCACTGGTCGTCGTTCCTATGTTTGGAGACCAGCCGGGCAATGCACAAGCTGTTGAGGATCGCAGGGCCGGCTTCGCTTTTGTGAATCCGCTTGAGAGCCTCACGACCTCAGCACTGCAGTCCTCAGTGACCCAGCTCCTGGCGGAGGGCAACCCTTATCTTGAAACAGCAAAGGCCATGAGTGCCGAGATAAAACAGGCTGGCGGCGTGCCGCTGGCAGCCGAGCTTGTCTTGGAGACCGCCGTTGGCCGCTCTTCCAAGCTTGGTGGCGCCTAAAGAGGCCAGCTATGGCCAGCTTGTCAGTCAACCAATTCGCACATGCACAGATCCCAACTCAAAAGCTTCCCGCAAGAGGACGGCCTGTACAGGGGACCCCTGCATCCTTACTTAAGGAGATTGTGTCGTTTTCCTTCGACCGCCAACCGTGCGCTGGCTTTTCGGTTCCCTTCGCAGGACTTGCTTGCAGAAGAGACGTGCAAAGGTGTAAAGGCATGCCTGACATTCAATGACCATCTTGACTCTTACTGGTCGTACTGCCCGCAGATGCAAACGGCAGCCGTGCGTCCCCAGCCGCCGCGAAATCTCGAAGTCTCCGATGCAGACGATGGGTGTCTTTGGCTGAGGTGAGAAGTCGAAGCTGCAATGCATTCTCTCAAACAGTAACTTGTACAAGTGTGTAGGTGGAGCCCTGGGTTGGATGATGGTGGTGCGCCCATTCTGGGCTATAGAATCCAGGTGCAAATGCCACTTTCCTTTTCTGCAGACTCTAACAGCTGTTCGAAAAAGGCACTACCGCCGAGCCCACAAATGCCGCTTGAGCTCCACGTTGTTGCAGGCCTTGTGCACCAATTTTGTTTGTTTGTTTGTGGAGGGACAGTCTGATACATTCTGCCATATTCTTTTTACAAAGCCGGTTGGGAGTCATGTCAATAGTGATCAGCTTCTCCAGCAGGCAGCCTCAGCGGCTGTGTGGGGGACGCAGGGCAACCAGCCGATGGCCGTGAAGGCACCATTAGCTTGCGAAAGGGTTCATGAATCTAGCATGCATGGGGCTTTGCAAGTTCCTTTGCTCTCACTTGCAGTCATTGGCTCGAGAAGCTGTTTTTCTGACAAATCTCTTCTTACCTGCATCATTCACTTTCGAGAGGTCTTGCTACATGGTCTTACCAACTATGAAGAAAGCAGTAGCGGCGAGATTATTCATGACAATTCTGATCTGCAGTGAAAGAAAATGAGCGATGCCCTCGCCTTCCTGCAGCCGCCTGGAGTTCATGCTGTGGCAGCGCAGCTGGACGGAGCTCGACAGCTAGCTGCCTCTCGTCGGCTTCGTCCCTTCTTTGTTCTTTAAGTTTCTGAAGGTGTGGGATGTGTGGGCAGTCCCTTGATGCGCAGAGTGACAGGAGACCCGGAGCGCACCTTCCAAGACTTTCTCTCAAGGCCTTGCTCCCTCAAGCTGCTCCTCGAGGCTTGCTGCTGTCCTGCTCCCAGCCTGGTGGCTCAGAAGGAATGCAGGTGCCAAAGTGCGTACGGCCCTTCAGGCCAAGAAGAAAGGCTTCCAGCCAGCAGAACCCAAAGAGGTTGAAGTTTTGGATGCAGCAGTTGTAGTTGAGGGCAAAGCAGCTGGCTCTACTTCTGCGTCCAGCGCAGATGCAGTGCTGCCTGAAGTTCTCACGGACGACATGAAGGACCTGCTGCAGGCGGCAGAGGCGGGGGACCGGGATGCGCAGTTCCGGTATGGCAAAGCCTTGCTCAAGGGCTGGGAGGGCCAGGACATTGATCAGGCTTCTGCTGCCGAGTGGTTGATCCGTGCTGCGGAGGGTGGCCATCGGCCTGCCCAGAGCGCTCTTGGAGAGATGTACTACACCGGCCTGGGTCGACCGCAGAACAAAACAGAAGCACTCAAATGGCTGAAGCGTGCTGCCGAGCCCCCGGTGTCTGAGGCCCAGTTCAATTTGGGAGTCATGCTGCAAACTGGCGATGGCGTGGAAGTGAACAAGAAGGAAGCCTTCAAGTATTACTTGGCTGCTGCTCAAGCAGGGATGACACGTGCAATGAACAATCTAGCCTACATGTACCGAGTCGGCGACGGGATCGACGTCAGCAAGGATCTGGCCTTGGAGTGGTGGCTTGGGTTTGGTTGAAGTTACTTCCATAGGGGTCCACTCTGGGTGCGGGTGGCGGTCTCTTTGTCCAAGGTACATGAAGGCTGCCAAAGTGGGAGACATGGACGGCCAGTATCACGTGGGAGAGATGTACCATGAGGGTGAGGGAGTCAAAGCCAGCAAGAGAAGGGCCGGCAGATGGTTCCTCAAGGCCGCTCAGCAAGGGCGCAAGGAGGCTCAGTACAATGTTGCGATGATGTACCATTTCGGATGCTTGCTTTAAATGGATGGTAGTCTTTTGAGAAAGTCAGCAGATGCCGCAGCAATATGGCTTGTCCCAGGAAACGGCTTGGCCGCAGACCGGCAGGCTGCCTCCGAATGGTACCGCAAGGCTGCTGAGCAAGGCTTGGTGCAAGCACAGCGTCTCGCCTTCAAAGGGCAAGAGGCATGGATGCCAAGCGCTCTGAGAATGCTGGAGCCAAGGTACAGCCTGGGCGTGATGTTGGAGCGGGGAGAGGGCATCGAGGTGGACAGGGCCGAGTCCGCCAAGTGGTACCAAAAGGCGGCAGAATCCGGCCATGTTCCCTCTCAGAATAACCTGGGTGCCGCTTACTATCTTGGAGAAGGTGTTGCTCGGCGTGCTAGAGACAGCAAGGGCATGTGCTCTGTCCACATCTGATAAAGACTGCTCAGGTCGAGCAGGACAAAGCTATGGCAGCGACGTGGTTTGAGAAAGCTGCAAGGGAGGGGCACCCTCAAGCGATGAAAAACTTGGGCAACATGTCGGTTGCTGAGTTCTCTGTACTTCCTGCGTGCTTGCATCTGCTGTTTGCCACTGATCTGGCAATGCCAATTTCCCAGGTACCGCGAGGGTGATGGCGTGCCCCTGGATGAGGACAAGTCAGACTACTGGTTCAAGAAAGCCGGTATGGGTGAGCTCTATGTCAAGGGCAAGAAAGCAAGGAATTTTTAAGCTCTGCATGACGCGCTCGAGCAATGAAAATGCTGCGTGAGTGAGAGCAATCTGAGTGCAATTCATTCTGACGCAAGCCTAGCGCAGCAGTCAGTTCTTTGAAAGATATTTGGTTTTGGCAGCAGGTGTGAGGCTGCCCGCTTTGAGCGCCGGCGTGCGGTGCCCCACCAAGTCAGAGCATTTGTTTGGAGGGCGTAGGGATTTGAGTTGAGGCATCGTAGTTTTCTCTGAGGAATGTGGACCCCTTTCGTTGTCCCTCAAAAGGTATTGCCGTTCTGCGGTCCTTTTTGATGGCAAGTTGAAAGTTTAAAGTGGTGCCTGTGGACTCCAGCTACGGCAAATGGCCAACTTCAGCATGCATATGTGTTTACAAGGCAGTCCTGCCCAGCTTTTGCTCAGGTACACTTTCCACGTCTTTGGCAGGAATCAAGTGGGTGAGTCAGAGAGCGCCGATCTTTCCATGGAGACGGAGCCCGGCCCACCAGGCCAGTGATGTCGAGGTGTTAGGTAGGGAAGTATCTTGTGATGCTTCTCCTGCCAGGTGCTCTGAAACCGCCGCGGCTGCGGCAGCCAGCTGAGGGACCTCTTCGAGTGCGCTGGAGAGCGCCACAGGCAAGGAAGAAGGAAGAGGCCGCAAAAACAAATCGATCTGGCTTGAACTATCAGGATGGCGGAAGTCCGGTGATAGACTACGAGGTGGGTCTTGGAGCATGGAGTCCTCAACTAGTTGCTTGTGCTGACAGGTCCTTGTAGCCATCGATGGTGAGTCGCAGCTTGTTGCGGCATTGCTCGTGCAGCACACGGAGGTCAAGATCAGAGGCCAGTCATAGGGAGGGAAGCGTTGCAAGCGTTGCAAGGCAGTGCCACCATTGATTTCCACCCGTCAAGGCCTAGACCCACACCGGAACTACGTCTTTGCTGTGCGTGCTCGCAACGAGTACGGCTGGAGCTCTCAAAGTGGTTGGTCAACGAGGTCGGAGCACGCCACACCGCCTGCGCTGCGATGCCTTGCCGCATGATTTCAAGCCTAAGGCGTGCACTTCTTAGTGACGCCAGACAGGGACGAACAAATTGGAGTAGCCGAGAAACATCAAGGTCCAATGCGCACTGTGGGCAACGAAGCTAAAAATCAAGTTTGTATTGTGCCAAGGATTGGTTCGAGAAACCTCAACTGCGATCGAGATGTCCTGGGAGCCGGCAGTGAGCGTAGCTTGGCTATCTTAGATGCCAGATGAAGGGCACAGCGCTTGAGCTAGGCTGCATATGTAATTGTCACCGCTAGCGTGCATCCGCCATAGCTGCCGGGCTTGCAACTTTTCGTCTTGATGCCAGAGGATCCGTATGCCATTCCTTCTTGAGTTGTCAGAGCGGGTGAGCGCAGAGGGTGCAGGTGTAGGGAAGCAGATCCGTGGTCAAATTTGGAAAGCGTAGTATACCAAACGTAGCTTAGCCGCCTGCTGCAGATGCTGTTTGGCAACAGGCCCAGGCAGAAGTTAACATGTTGTGCTAGATTTGCAAAGTTGTTTGCATTCTTGTTGGGGACAATTGTTGAAAGAAAGGACATGCAAGTGCTGGACTATGAAGTCTGGCTAGATGAGGAGGACCCAATTCCTCGCTCGGGGGCCGCAGAGGAGAAGCGGGTACGTACAAGCCAAACGTCTGCAACAATTGCAGATCTCAGGCCGTCCACTCGTTACATTTGCCAAGTCCGTGCCTTGAATTCATGCGGCTGGTCGCCGTGGTCGCTGCCTTCCATCGCCTGCACGAAGTCAGACAAGGACGAAACACATGCACCACATGCAGCTACAAACCTGGGAGAGGCTGCAGGGCAGGACAGACCAAGCTCTGACAAGGTCTCCAGCAGACTTCTCCAGGCGGCTGAGGACGCGCCACTGTGTCGTGCGTCCGGGTGCTTGCCCTTCGGCAAAGGTGATTCCCAGCCGACTGCCTCACCCAGAATGTCGCTTGCAAGCTGCAGCTGGTTTCAAGCACCGACCCCGTGGCGTGTGCGACAGCGTCTGCTTCGCAGGCTGCATTCCCCAACTGAAAACAGCCCTGCAAGCTCAGAAGATAAGCCGGAGATCCACGAATCGCAAGATGCTGCCATTGTTTAGATTCTGGATACTGAAGCACCAGGATGTGGAAGTCGACGCTTGCCTGCAAACAATTAACATATGTTCTCAGAATGTCACTGGTGGCCCAGGATGGCATGGAACGAGACGTCAGATCCTCTTTTTTGGGCCGAGGTGTTGTTTGGATCAATGGACGTTGCCAACTGTCTTCTGTACAGATGTTTGCTCGCTGCAGAGGAGGGCATGCAGCTGCCGCTAGCATGGCTGACAGGCTCTGTCTACTGCAGGGTTCCTTCGGTTTGCCACCATTGCCTGCAGTGAGCTGCACATGTCTCCACATAAAGCTGTTCTTGTGGCTGGCAATGGTGATGCCCCCAAGTTTTGTCAACACCACCGATGCCGCGGTGTTGGAATTCGATGCGTAGGACGGTTCGGCGGCTATGCTCTGCCCCAAGTAAGTTTCAAGGAGCATGTGTAGGGTGCTCATGAACGGTTCGAGCAGCTGCCTTCACCGCAAGATTCTGTGGGCGGGGCTGAGTTTCCATTGAGCCTTTTAGAATCAATGTCTCGGCCCGCCTCCCGCACAGAACTCTAGGATTTGCGACTTGCGAAGTCTCAGCGGAGTTGCCTTGGCACGCGAACTGCGCCGCCTCGGCCCTCCATGCCTAGCACCCTGGGTTACCAACCCAGGCTAGCCCGTAAGCAGTGAGGCACCGATGCATGCCTCGCTGTGGGCATTTTCATTTTAGTTTGACTGGAATTGGCTCAGAAGTCAGCTTTGCTTTGCGCCTAGCGGCGCTGCCCAATGCTTCCGGTTTCCGTTCAATTGGACTGTCCAGAAGCTGCAAACTTTGGGAAATTCGTTTAAGCATGCCAGACCTTAACCGTCCTGACTGGCGGGCAATAAGACCGATCATGATGTTCTTTGAAGGGCATCAGCAGCTTGACAGAGATCCCATGTTGACTGTTTTGCTCCGGAGCACTGCTCTGCGCTGCTGAGCCAACAGCTGAAGAAAACAAGTCATGCATGGAAGCAGACCTAATCAACACAGATAGCGCAGCAGAACAGTCACAGAACAACCCAAGTGATCACTACAGGGAGCCATGAGTGGCACACCCGAGAAAGACCCACTGCCAGAGATAGAGGAAGCTGCACGCAGCTCAGGCAAAGATTGCGGTGATGGCGGCAAGAGCCGCCGAAGTAAGCCCAAAGCCGGTGCCAAGGGTAAAGGCGAAGGGGGCAAGGGCAGCGGTGGCGGCAAGGGTGGCAAGGGCGGCGGTAGCAAGGGCGGGGGTGGCAAAGGCAAAGGCAGCAAGGGCGGCTCGAACTGGGATGCTGCCCAGCTGCGCAACTTGGACAGGCCGCAGCTAACCTTGGAGGATCTGCAGCGGGTGAGGCCCCAGCGTTGTGTGGAGGCCTTCTCGCATCTCACAGTCTGCTCTGACTGGCCGGAAGCCGGCAAGTCAGTACCCAGGTCTGGTTCGGCCACTTGGTCGGGGATTCCACAGGGACGTACGATGAAGTTAGCATTTGCCCCGCATGGCCGGCTTATGTCATAACTAAGAAAGCTTTTCCTTTAATGTGGCACCCAAATTCATGGAGGGGTCCGGAATAATGAAAAGTTCAAGGGACAGAAATTAGAAAATGGCTGATTTTGAATCCTAAACCTGTTTATACTTGTCTTATTTTAGCTAAGAAAAGCAATCAGAAACAGCTTGCAAGCTCAATCTCACTCAGCTTTTTCTCTTAGGTTCAAGGCTCAACACTCAGCATTCAAACAAAACTCAAAAGCTTCCCTGAAGGTTACTTAGATTGCTT